ACGTTGAAATTATGATTTTTGAGGTAGCAACTGAATTTGAGTACTTTGTAAAGTTGATTCATGGTTCTGCTTAGAAGTTAAGAATTAACAGGCTAATGGGCCAAGCCAGGCCATTTATTTTTTTATAAACGGGCCAAACCAGGCTAACAGTTAGACTCATACTAGGCTTGAGCCAGACCAAATTGAAATTTTTAACATAGGTTTGGGCTTTTCGAGGCAAAACTTGGCTCAGCCCAGCCCACTTTCACCCTTATCTATGATCATATCCTCATCTGCTGATCTTACATGACCAATGGATTATGACAGTCTAGTGAGATCAAGGTATTTTGGTGCATCAAAGCTTGGGATACATCTATTCCATCTTCAATAATTTTTTATATATATATATATATATATATATATATATATATATATATATGTATGGGCTAAATACTTCTCATATTATACGAAAAGAATTCTTTCTCCTACACACACAACAAATATTTGTGTAGGAGATAACACATAAAAGTGTGTAAGGCACACGTAGGGCCATGTTAAATGAAGAGATAAAAAAATGGGTCATACACACTTTTATGTGTGTGTAAGTTATAAAATTATCTCCAACAATATAAGAAATATTAAACTCATATATATGTGTGTGTGTGTGTGTGTGTGTGTGTGTGTGTGTGTGTAAGAAATATCTAATGTTACTTTAGACAATTTTGTTTAATGTTCACTAAACAACGTCATTTTTTGTTGAAAAATTAAAAAATTAAAATGATAAATACTATTATAATCCTGAAATAAATTAAAATCACAAACACATCATTATTTTCGCCCCAAAACGACGTCATTTCGGTGAGCATTAGACAAAATTATCTAAAGTAACTTTAAAAAAAATGAACCCTATATATATATATATATATATATATATATATATATATATATATATATATATGGGAAGATTATCTTTACAAACTTTTTGTTTACAAACTACATTAAGTATGACTGGTCATACTTCAATCAAGAGTGTATGACCAGTCATACTTAGTGTAATTTGTAAAAAAAAAATTGTAAACGGATCATTCTCCATATATATATATATATATATATATATATAGGGAAATGTTATATTTATAAACTTTTTGTTTACAAACTCTTACAAACTACATTATGTCTGACCGGTCATACTTTAATTAAGAGTGTATGACGGGTCAGACTTAGTGTAATTTGTAAAAAAAGTTTGTAAACGAATCACTCCCCATAAAACTTTGAAATAATAAATCATATTAGGGGTTGCAATTTTCAACACCACCTGTTGACACGATATGAACACGGTACGAAAAATTTGTGTTTAGGTCGACTTGTTTTGAAATTTGTGTTGTGTTCGTATTGACAAAAATTGACCTGCGAAAATTCATGTTATGTTACATGTCAATCCGCGAATCTTAAATTGATTCACATTAATTTTCTTACAGGCTATTCATTGTCATGTCATATCATAAATAGGCTATTCGTGTCTTATTTGTCTAAGAGTTACTAGTTTTAATATTTTAAATAAAAACTAGTTTTATACTTAAAAAATATCAATATAAAATTAAAATTTTAATTTATAAATATTTTCAATAAATGCGTACACATATTTTATTTGAAAAAGTGTGTGTCCTTTAGAATTATACAATTTATGTCATTTTACTTTGACAAAGAGATAAGACCCGTATTTTTATTTTTATTTTGTCCACTCTCTTTTCTTCATGGTTTATCTCTTTTTTTCACTTAAAATTATTTCCTTTAAAATAACATACATTTTTTCCTTTTTCATTTTTCTTATGTATTATTTATTGAAAGTCGAGTGAAGTACTTCCGCAGGCAAGTACTCAATTACTCATCCATCAACCACTCACTCTCATAAATATTCGCACCTTCAATCTATAAACGAAAAGTAAAACAAAATCTAATTTAAAAAAAGAGAAATTATTATCTCATTTTACATGAGATAATTATCTCATGTTGTTCTCATATCAAAAATTATGCTACCATTTTTCTTTTTTCTTTTTTTTAATAAGTGATGGGTCTCACCACATTATGTGTCTATAATAAGAGATAATTATCTTTAATAATATGAGAAAATAGAGTCCCTTAAAAAAATGATAATAAAATGAAACATGAACATACACATATTTATCAGTGAGGGAGCAATTGATTGAGGAGAAATTTTTTGAATACTAGAAAAATGTAATTACTAGGAAAATGGTGGTTGGAAAGTGAGTTTGGTAGAAAAATGTAAAAAAAATTATTTGGTTGACTGAAATATTACCAGGAAAATTTATTTAAATTTGCAAAATCTATGTTAGGGAGAAACTTCGCACCTATTTTTTCACTTCCCCAGTTATCTCAAAATACCACATCTCAAGTGGTATTATGTAACAGTGAATTTCATCTAAAAATCAACACAAAAGTCATTTCTCCATCTATCCTATTTGCCTAGTATTTTTTTTTTTAAATCTGAACCAAACGTAATATTTTTCAATATCTACTTACACTTTCTCATTAATCCCAAAATAAATCTTCTAGAAAACATTACGTGAGTGATACAACCACTTACGATGCCGAGTCAAGAGTGGGTGCGCATAATATTCCATGATCTTATGATATTTGTGTATACATAAGATATTTGTCGATGAATAAAATGGGACCCACCTGTTTTTTTTTTTTTTTTGTCTATACATAAGATATTTGTTGATGAATAAAATAAAAACAAAACAAAGTTCAAAGACGCTGAAAGAAGGAAGGTTCACAATTTTTGTTCGATCTGATTATTACTTGTTAGCAATAGATAAATTTATTTTATTTCTAGAAATTTGAAAAATTATGTATTATTTAAGGGACTCTATTTGAAAAAGTCGAGTGAAGTACTTCCGCAGGCAATTACTCAATTACTCATCCATCAACCACTCACTCTCATAAATATTCGCACCTTCAATCTATAAACGAAAAGTAAAACAAAATCTAATTTAAAAAAAGAGAAATTATTATCTCATTTTACATGAGATAATTATCTCATGTTGTTCTGACATCATAAATTATGCTACTATTTTTCTTTTTTCTTTTTTTTAATAAGTGATGGGTCTCACCACATTATGTGTCTATAATAGGAGATAATTATCTTTAATAATATGAGAAAATAGAGTCCCTTAAAAAAATGATAATAAAATGAAACATGAACAAACACATATTTATCAGTAGGGAGCAATTGGTTGAGGAGAAATTTTTTGAATACTAGAAAAATATAATTACTAGGAAAATGGTGGTTGGAAAGTGAGTTTGGTAGAAAAATGTAAAAAAATTATTTGGTTGACTGAAATATTACCAGGAAAATTTATTTAAATTTGCAAAATCTATGTTAGGGAGAAACTTCGCACCTATTTTTTCACTTCCCCAGTTATCTCAAAATACCACATCTCAAGTGGTATTATGTAACTGAATTTCATCTAAAAATCAACACAAAAGTCATTTCTCCATCTATCCTATTTGCCTAGTATTTTTTTTTTTAAATCTGAACCAAACGTAATATTTTTCAATATCTACTTACACTTTCTCATTAATCCCAAAATAAATCTTCTAGAAAACATTACGTGAGTGATACAACCACTTACGATGCCGAGTCAAGAGTGGGTGCGCATAATATTCCATGATCTTATGATATTTGTGTATACATAAGATATTTGTCGATGAATAAAATGGGACCCACCTGTTTTTTTTTTTTTTTTTTTGTCTATACATAAGATATTTGTTGATGAATAAAATAAAAACAAAACAAAGTTCAAAGACGCTGAAAGAAGGAAGGTTCACAATTTTTGTTCGATCTGATTATTACTTGTTAGCAATAGATAAATTTATTTTATTTCTAGAAATTTGAAAAATTATGTATTATTTAAGGGACTCTATTTGAAAAAGTCGAGTGAAGTACTTCCGCAGGCAATTACTCAATTACTCATCCATCAACCACTCACTCTCATAAATATTCGCACCTTCAATCTATAAACGAAAAGTAAAACAAAATCTAATTTAAAAAAAGAGAAATTATTATCTCATTTTACATGAGATAATTATCTCATGTTGTTCTGACATCATAAATTATGCTACTATTTTTCTTTTTTCTTTTTTTTAATAAGTGATGGGTCTCACCACATTATGTGTCTATAATAGGAGATAATTATCTTTAATAATATGAGAAAATAGAGTCCCTTAAAAAAATGATAATAAAATGAAACATGAACAAACACATATTTATCAGTAGGGAGCAATTGGTTGAGGAGAAATTTTTTGAATACTAGAAAAATATAATTACTAGGAAAATGGTGGTTGGAAAGTGAGTTTGGTAGAAAAATGTAAAAAATATTATTTGGTTGACTGAAATATTACCAGGAAAATTTATTTAAATTTGCAAAATCTATGTTAGGGAGAAACTTCGCACCTATTTTTTCACTTCTCCAGTTATCTCAAAATACCACATCTCAAGTGGTATTATGTAACAGTGAATTTCATCTAAAAATCAACACAAAAGTCATTTCTCCATCTATCCTATTTGCCTAGTATTTTTTTTTAAAAATCTGAACCAAACATAGTATTTTTCAATATCTACTTACACTTTCTCATTAATCCCAAAATAAATCTTCTAGAAAACATTACGTGAGTGATACAAGCACTTACGATGCCGAGTCAAGAGTGGGTGCGCATAATATTCCATGATCTTATGATATTTGTGTATACATAAGATATTTGTCGATGAATAAAATGGGACCCACCTTTTTTTTTTTTTTTTGTCTATACATAAGATATTTGTTGATGAATAAAATAAAAACAAAACAAAGTTCAAAGACGCTGAAAGAAGGAAGGTTCACATAATTTTTGTTCGATCTGATTATTACTTGTTAGCAATAGATAAATTTATTTTATTTCTAGAAATTTGAGCTTGTGGAACAAGCCAGATGACTACATAGATCACTCTATAAATATATATAGACTATTGTTGGCTTTGGAAAACACAAGCTACGATGGCAGAGGTGAAGCTACACGGATTTTGGTATAGTCCCGTTCTTTGGAGGGTAGTATGGACCCTAAAGCTAAAGGGTATACCATATGATTACACAGAGGAAGACCGCTTCAACAAGAGTGCTCAACTTCTTAAATACAACCCAGTGCATAAGAAGATTCCAGTGCTAGTTCATGATGGAAAACCCATATGCGAGTCAATGATCATTGTTGAATACATTGATGAGATATGGCCACAGAATCCATTGCTTCCTGCTGATCCATATGAGAGAGCTATTGCACGGTTTTGGGCTAAATATGCCGATGACATGGTACATATTTATTTAGAAACTTAATCATTTGCATTTTTCTAGCCTCTCTTATACAATTCATGATCAGTTTACCTTTCAGCTATAATTAAATAGGTTCATTTTTTTTTGCTGTCAATGTAAATAAGTTATTTATGTTAAGCTCAAAATAATTTATTTTGATGCGAAAATCAAGATATTTTTATAATTATAAGTTATTTCAGGATTATAATAATTAATAATCTTTCTCATTATAATTTTTTAATCTTTTAATCTAAAATGAACGTTGTTTTGAAAGTAAATATAAATAACTTATCTACGTTAATTAAATTTAGTGTACCTTGTTTTTTTCTAGATCATTACTTTCTATGCTCTAAAATTCTTATCATGATTCAAAGTGAAAATAACATTGTGTGGTCAATTTTTACAGATTTCAGCAGTTGCAGCACTCTACCGCAGCAGTATCGGTGAAGAGCGGGAGAAGGCCATAGAGAAGGTGTGGGAGCATCTAACAGTTGTTGAGGATAACTGCTTTGGTGATGAGAAGAAATTTTTTGGGGGAGACACTATTAACATTGTTGACTTAGCTTTAGGGTCCGTTGCCAATTTACTTTTGGTTGTGGAAGTTATGTTTGAGGTGAAGGTCCTACAAGCTTTGAAATTCCCTCGCCTGAATTCATGGTTTAATAATTTCAGAGATGTCCCGGTCATCGCAAAAAATCTCCCTGAGCAGGAGAAAATTGTCGCTTTTGCATCTTCCTATTCCTAAGAAAACGTTAGCTTTTATGAAGAGATAATAAACATTTGTATCCTTATGTGTATTTCTTTATTTACCAATCTTGGTTTAGGTTTGTCTTACATACTTGTAAAAGTAATAAAAATCTAAGCTGGTTGTACTTACTTTCATATTAAATCAAGCTTCATTTAAAATCATGCTCCTGAATCTCAAATATCAAATAGGTTGCTACTCGCCATCAAATATTATTGCGATTATTGTGGAAATTCTACAATTAATATGGGCTGTTTTCTATGATAAATTTATTTTTTATACCTTAATTTTGGCCTTAGGTTGTATTTTTCCTTTTTTTTTTATAATTTACTTAGATATTTTTTCTTCTGAAATGTAACTAAATCTTTCTTTAACATTAAAAAACTTCTAATATACGTTAAACCATTTTAAATGGAAATGTTAGTTGTAATGTTAAAGCTGCAACAAAGACGGTATATTATTGCACTATTAAGGGTGTGCATGATACCTTTTCCATAATCAATTTTTTTATTTTTTTTTATTTTCGTGAACAGAAATGGATAGAAAACTCGTTTGATAAAATTGATTTATGTTTTTTTTCGGGATTAACCGGTTTAATTTTTGTGCTAGGAAAAGAATAAAAAAAATTCTGTTTTTTTGTTTCCAGGTATAAAATAAGAAACACTTGTCTCTCTCAATCACTCTTCAGCACTACCATCACCACCAACCATCATCATCATTGCAGCCACTGCCGCCATCACTATCACTATGCCACCACCACCACCATTACTACCATCACCATGCCACCACCACCATCACCATCATCGTCACTACCACCGTTACCACTACTATCACTAACCACCACTACCACTGCCACCAACCACCACCACCATCGCTGCAGCCACTGTCGTCACCCCTACCACCACTGTCATCACACCACCATTACCACCACCACCACGACTCCACCACCATCGCCACCATCATCATCACCAACCATCATTATCATTGTTGCAGCCACTATCGTCGCCACTATCGTCACCACCATCACCACTACTACAATCACCACGTCACTGCCACCACCATCGCCGCAGTCACTGCCGTCACCATCACCATTATGCCAACACCAAGCCATCACCATTGCCACCACCGTCACCATTGCCACTATTACTATCGTCACCACCACAACCACACCACCGTCACCATTACCACCACCATGCCTTCGTCGCCGCCACCACCACCATACCATATGAAAAGGAAAGTGATGATTCAAAAAAAATTTATGCTTAATAGGAATTATTTTTTATTATATTATTTGTTGAAAAATATTAAATATGGGAAATCATAATCATACAAAGGTAAAAATAAATATAAAGTATTAAATATGAGGAATCATAACCATACAAAGATGGAAATAAATATAACCGTTAGATCAACATAATCAATCTTACGGTAAATTTGATTGGTAGTAACATTGGTTGTAACCCTAATTGGTTGCTATAATATCCTACTCCTTATTTAAATTAATATAATTTCATCTCCAAAATATAATAAATAAATATTTAAAATTATAATTAATATATATATATGGAGAATGATCCGTTTATAATGGAAAATGATCTGTTTATAATTTTTTGTAAATTACACTATGTACTCCCAAAAATACATAGTGTAACCTAGTGTACTTCTGAGAGTACATAGTGTAGTTTGTAAACAAAAAGTTTGTAAATATATCCCTCCTATATATATATATATATATATGCTTTAATATTTCTACAGTAAATGTAGATAAGTTATCTACATTAACTATCAAAACAACGTCATTTTGTTTGTAAAATTTAAAAATTATGATGAAAAAGCCTATTATAATCTTGAAATAAATTATAATTACAAAATACCTTAATTTTTGTCCCAAAATCACGTCATTTTTGGCTCAATGTAGATAATTTATCTGCCTTGACGGTAGAAAAAATGAACTCATATATATATATATATATATATATATATATATATATATTTGATCATTTTATATCAAGTAATGTGTTTTAATCCTAGTTGAATCATTTGATATAAATAATATAATAGTTAAAATTTGATGTAAAATTTATTATTTTTTTACCAGTGTAAAATTAACAAGGAACGAAAGAATGATTTGAAGTAAATTAAAAAGAGGGGGGCGCAAAAAAGCATTGAAGTATAACCAGTGGCGGACCTACATGGGGGGCATGGGTGGGCCACCCTAAAATTTGATAAAACATGTTTACGTCTCCAAAAAATACATAGTATATTTCATTTTCCATGACTGGTGGGTTACTTGAACAAAGTTGGCATTGTGTGCTCTTTGGATCTGAAATGAGTTGCTTTGATTTCATCTTATTGTTGATCTTTTGTTTAAAATGTTCGATTTTACCTTCTGGGTCTTCGTCTTTTGTTTCTTTTGATACCCCAAAATCTGTTACCACGAGCAAGAAGCTTGATACCCGTTTTCATGTTGTGAGTGTGTAAAGTTTTGATCTTTTGGTAGTTTTATTTTGTTTGGATGCTTAGAAACCAGCAAAAAGTGAAACAAAAAAATGGATATAAAATAATTATAATTTACTATAATTTCTATTATTTATTTGTTTAGCTTTATGGTGCTTGATAATTGAAGTAGATGGGTCTGTACGTAGTGATGTGGGTATTATGGAGCTTTATGTTGTTAGTTTTAGGTGTTTGCCTAATTTGGGTTATATGAGCTTTCCCTCCCTCTTTTTGTTCTGTTGAGACTATAATAAACCTTTAGTTTATCTTGTTTTTATAAGTTAAATTAATATAAATTATTAAGTTGAACGAGTCAAAACTAGGGTTTTAACATAAAATCATGAACATTATCTGATTATGAATTAATTAAATAATATTTGCTATTTTTAAGGGATTTGATGACAAATGGAGTCAAAGATGAAGATATGGATAGATGGAGAGCAAAACAAAAAGATTTAAAGATCTTATCAAGATTCTCAAGTTGTTAGAGAGGAGGCTTAAGCCCCCAATTCGAAGCTAAAGCCTCCAAATATAAGCAAATGGCCTCTGCCTAAGCAAGCTTAAGCCCCAATTAGCTAGCTAAAGCCTCCTGTATAAGCAAATATGTTCGGCCTTAGCAAGCTTAAACTCGCTCCAGCAGGCTTAAGCGCGAGCCAAGGAGGAATTTCAGACGCGAAGAGCGCGCTACGTGAAATTTTCATGCAATCTTCAGCAGGCTTAAGCTCGCTCCAGCAAGCTTAAGCGCGAACGTTGATTTTTAATTCGTAAATTAGGAAGCTTAAGCACGAATGAGCAAGCTTAAGCGCCCCAAAAACCTAAGTTAGGCCCAATTCAAGTTATTCACTTAGGGCACGATTCTTGGCCATTAAAAAGGCATCTTGGGGTCAGAATTAAGAAGTTTTTGATATTCAAAGAGAGCTCTTGGTGCTTGGAGGCAGAGGGAACGCAGAGAAACACTCGGTTCAAGTTCGTGAGCGGCGGAGACAGATCAACATCAAGTCTGCATTGGGGATATTGAAGATTCACCAATCATCTATGGAGTTTGGGGGAGCTTTATTATTGTCTTTCATTCTTGATATTGTTATGTCTGGCTAGTTCTTTAAGTAGTTAGGGTTAGATGGAATTTAATCGATTTATTATGCTTTGAACAATTCGTATGTTAATTTTCCTTTATATCATGAATGAAATTACCTGTTTTTAATGCTTTATATATGCTTGAATCTTATATAATAATCATAGGTAAATGAATGACAATAGGAATGTTGGTGTGTGATCCTTATCTGATAATTTCATCGTACGCTTTATGATTCTAGGGATAAACATAGAGTTTGCGTAATCTTTAAGATTCTTGATCTTAATGCTTGCATTCTTGGGGAATAACCGGGGAACTAGGGTTATTGCAAGATTGTAAAGTTTTAGGGTAACAAGGAATTGAGCCCTAATTACATGCGAAAGAATTGATTAGATTGATATTAAGGACAATTAACATTAAGAAGGAATTCAAACATAATAAAGAGATTAAAGAAAATCGAAACCTTAGCTACGTTCTTTTACATTAGTTAATCAAATCTTTAATTTCTTGCTTTTAATTTTTTGCGATTAATTAGTTTCGTCTTTTAAATTTCAAATTCAAATTTCGTTCCAAATACAATTTCGATTGTCCAACTAAAATTGCGATAGTGAATTAGTGCTTGAGTATAATCCTCGTGGAAACGATATCTTATTTAATCATTATATTACTTGTACGATCGGTGCACTTGCTGTGAGTCCCAACAGACTACTGGTACATGTTTTCTGGTTTTAGATTGTGATTCTCCTACTTTTCATTGTTGACATGGCAATGAAACAACCTAACTTAAATTAGTCAATTCACTATACTTATTAGGGATAGGTTATTCTGCCTACTCCCATTTTACCTACCTTTGCCTACCCCTTTCATTATCGCCTGATTACAATCTAATCCTACGCTCCATATTTACGAAATAAAATAAACCTTTTTTTCCTTTCTTTCTTCTCATTTCCTCCCACACCTTTTCTCTCTTCTCCCCTTTCTCTCTTCCTCTAAGTCATACCTTTTTTTTTTTCATCACTGCCGTTGTGGACCTCTTTAACCCCCCCACCTTCTCCAACTCCATGTTTGTAGGGAAAGCATGATTAATCAATATTTTGTTTATATTTGCATTTATCTGTTTGGTTGTTGAATTATCAGAAACCCAAACGAAGAGCAACACTATTAATCAACAGTATCTTTAACCCCCCACCCTCTCCAACTCCATGTCAAGTGAGAAGTTTTTCAACATCAGAAAAAGAATTTCAAAAAAAAAAACCCTTCCTTTTTCTGCAACTCTATCCAAAGCGGCGGTGCCACAAGGTTAAATTTGTAGATTACCTCTGATACATAGGTTATTTCATTTAAATCCAAGTCACAGCCAAAAACACAGTCATGTTTCACTGCAATGAAGGCAGATAATCATATGCACGCGGACACGTGTCCGACACGAACACGCTCAGACACACGGTCAACTCTCCGACACGCGGTCAACTCTCCGACACGCGGTCAACATTTGAGGACACGCTCGGACACGTTTTTTTTTTTTAAAAATCTTAATTTTATTTTGTTAACTAAATATAAAAGAAATAATTTATAAA